AATAAAAAAAAAAAAAAATGTTGTCATTGAGCCAAATGGATTGGTATAGTTATCCCAATGGGTTTTTAAATAATTTGATTTTAGGCGATGAATTCAAAAGCAGTTTGATAGATAACTAATTCCAATATTGGACTTCCTATTCATGATTTTTCAAGTGTATGTTTATATATAATTAAATTTGTATGTATGTATTTATAAAAATCACAGTATTATAAATACATTTAGTATATATTATACTGCTTTTGCTGTGTAGTTTCAGTGATTTTGACTGTTAAGCCAAAGACGTTTGAATACAGATGCTATAGTGTCCTCTCTCTTGTAGCAGTGTGGTTGGGTCAGAAGATAACCAAGAGCAGAAACAGGTGTGCCTACCCGAAAGCCGCCTGACACCATGGGAAGTGTGGTTTGTTGGCAAAGAAAAAGAAGAACGTGACCGTCTGCAACAGAAGGCTCTGGAGGTAAATTAGACAGTATCCTTTTTGCTGAATCTATGAGTTCACAAATTAGAGCTGCTGTCACAAGTAAAATGTTAATATTATCCCTCAAAACAAAATTTTTCCGTTTCTTTGTATCAGTTTGCTATTTCCGCTTTAATCTCTCTACTTGTAGAAATAATACATTCATCATAAGAACATTTGGAAAATACAGCTAAGTATAATGAAGAACATGAAAATCTCTAATTTTACCACCTAAACATAACCAATGTTAATATTATTGCACATAGCCTTCCAGATTTTCTGCAGTGTAAATTAAAAAAAAACCAAACTACAAGTGTGTATATTAAGACATATAAAATGGAGCTTCACCATATATACATTTAACTAAAGTAAATGCAACTGCATTTATTTGGTAAAATTTTTAAGAAAAAAGAGAAACCAAAATTGAAATAGAGACAGAAACCTACCCCCCTATCACTCAGAGCATTTGGCCTAGGGTGAGTGTGTGGGGGGAGACGGGAATCTGCTGGGCTTTCAGGGTTTTTCAGTTTCTCTGTGCCTCGCTGCCTCACTTGTGGGCATTTCTGTGTTTGTGATTCTCTCTGAACTCTCACTCTCCAAACTCCTAAAATAGCGTGAGATACATTTTCACATGAATCCTTTGAACTCTTCGTATTTGCTGCTGAGAACCTAGCAACGAATTTGGAGGATTTGGAGGATTTGGAGGATTTGGCATCCTGTAGTTATTCACTATCTGGATTCTCCCTATCTGAACCTAGAAACCAAGTAGATCTGAGTGGTAAGGGGTATGTCTTATTTCTGATGAAACAGCATCAAACTCTTTTGTAACCTTTTTTCCACCTGTCATATTGTTAATATATTTCTGTATAATTGAATGTGTTTATGACATCATTTCTAAATGGTTGGCTAAGATTATTAAAATGTATTTTAAGTGTATTAGATATATACTAGAATATAATTAACTGGTTCACTATTGTCATATATTTAAATGTAATCTATTAGTAACTATGTTGCCATAAAAATCCCTGGATCTAAAGCATTGCTGTCCATGATCTTCTTGTAATAAATTTTCCATATCAGTTTTGTCACTAGTTATTTCTGTGATGGATTTTGAACTGTGTAGGCAGTCACATATTCAGGGGTCGTGGCATGATTCAATGATTGTAGAAACCAGTGTGTTCTGCTGTGTCCCTGTTGCATGATGTTTGTAAAACACAAATTTATTCCTGGAGAAGTGCACAGTAGTACTTGTTTCCTCTTAGAAGGGCATGGGACTTGAGAAAGATCTTAATATTTGATGCCAGGTGGGCTTGTTTAAACTTTTTCGCTTCAATTTCCTATCTGTATGATAGGAATAAAAATAATACCTATGTCACAGGATTTTTGTGAGGTTTAAATGAGACAGAATGTGGTGACTGGTATTGTTGTATTGGTATTGTTACTGATAACATTGCTATTTGTGGCCTTTCTAAAGCTTTTTCATTTATTTTCAGAATTAATGTGACTTATTGAGACCCCAGAGTTTTAGCCTCAAATTTTAACATTTCTAATTCATTATTTAGTGCAGTAGCTTTCAAAATATTTGTTCCTGGTGAGAAATACACTTTGCCTCATGTCATACACAAATGTATACAAATACGTATCTGAAACGATGTCTTGATTTTGTGCAAAATCTGGTATTCTGTCCTTCCTTCCTTCCTTCCTTCCTTCCTTCCTTCCTTCCTTCCTTCCTTCCTTCCTTCCTTCTTTATTTATTTAGAGCGTGAGTAGAGAAGGGGCAGAGAGAGAGTACCAAGCAGGCTCCGTGCTGTCAGCGCAGAGCCCGGCATGGGGCTCCATCTCATGAACTGTGAGATCATGACCTGAGCCAAAACTAAGAGTCAGATGCTTAACTGACTGAGCCACTCAGGCACCCCTTTATTTTTTGTTTTTAAAACCCACAGATTGGTTTTAGACTCAGTTTGGAAAACACTGATCTAGTGAGCCATTGGTAAAGTGGAGTTCAGTTTATGGTATTTAGCTTTATCTCCAACCTAGAGATTCACTTATTACATTAAGGAAAGGAGGAATCCCTTCAAGTTATTTCAGAGTCAGCATACTCTGTAAAAGAAGTAAAAGAAGTCAATTAAATTACAAAAAATTCAAAAGGGAGCCTGAACTTTGGAGTCACATAGAACAAGCCTAAAATTTTAGTTTTGCCATTCTAACTGTGACCTTGGCAGAGTTACCCAATTTCTCTGAGTCCCAGTTTCTTTATCTGTAAACCAGATGTTAGAGAGGCAATAATAGTGTGGTTAAAAGCATAAATTCTTGAGCTGTACTTTCTGGATTAAAAACTTAGGTCTTGGGCATATCCTTAACCTCGCTCTGCCTCAATTTCTTTATCAATAAAAGGGGGAGAATAATATTGACCTCATAGTGTTGTTATGAGGACCCAAGTGAACATAAGGAGATACCCTAGTATATAGGAAGCATTCAATGAAAGTTAGTTGTTATTATGTTTTAAAACAGATGATAATAATAAATCCTGAAGATTTGTTTTGAGAACAAATGAAAATAATGAGTATAAAGTCCCTACCACAATGATTAAGCAGGTAGCAGGGTATGCTTAGTCGAAAGATTAAAATCTCTTCATGTATTTAGTACTTTGAAGTTTCTTATGGTTACATCATTAACTCTAAACCAATTAAAATATTTTAGCATGAATCTTAGTGTATCACTCATGTGAACGGTATAAAAACATATAGGCCCACTACTCACTTTATAAGTTTATTTTACGTTCTTGTGATATTCACATTTATTTTCATGCCTTTTCCTTGCTTTGTTTTGTTTTTCTTTTTTTCAAAGATTCTATTTTTTAAGGAATCTCTACATCCAACATGAGGCTCAAACTCACATCCCTGAGATCAAGGGTCACATGCTCCGCCGACCGAGCCATCCAGGCGCCCTATTCCTTGTTTTATTTTCTAAGTGATGCTTTTCTTATTTTTCTGTCCTACTTTATTGCATTCTCTAATTTGTTTACAAGTCGTACCATTAAAAGCACAGATTATTAGTCATAAGGAACAATTCATTTCAGATTCTTGTTGAGGACCAGAAAGTAACTTTGCCAATGTTTCAGTTCCTGGCAAAGCTGAGACTGGGTCCTCGTTCTTTCAGCTTCCAATTTCTTAAGTGTTTTTTCCATAATATCAAGGTGTATTGTAGAAATGAATGGGTCAGACTTAGTATTTAATTTTGAACTTACCCTACCGGTCTTGTTTTTTTCCTTGAAAACTTAAAGGAAAATTTAAAGGATAATTGGGTCATTAAAAAATCATCTCTTCTCCTAAATTTCATTTTAGCAACAGATTTTTAGACAGGCATTTGTTTCAGACATGTCTCTAAGACTAAATTAAAAAACTATTTTAAAAAAATTAAAAATTTTTTATTATTTTTTTTAATGTTTATTTTTGAGAGAAAAAGCGAGTACACATGCAGGTGAGGGGCAGAGAGAGAGGGAGACAGAGAATGTCAAGCGATCTCTATGCTGAGTGCAGAGCCTGATGTGGGGCTCAAACCGTGAACTGCGAGATCATGACCGGAGTGGAAATGAAGAGTCAGATGCTCAACCAACTGAGCCACCCAGGCACCCTTAAAATTTTTTTAAAAATTAAAAAGAAATTTCTTTAATCCATCAACATATGGTGCTTATAAAATTGGTTATATTTGTAACTAATGTTGAGTGATAAATATAGTAAATGTTGAACATTAGTATTATGAAAAACTAGCATATTGGTATTATAGATCATATACATTTTATATTTAAATTTTTATTATTTAAAAAACTTACTTAGACTGCCCTAAATTCTTTATAACCTTTAGTTAATTCTAATTTTTAACATTTGCTTTAACATTTTAATACAATCTGTTCTAAATTATAAAAATGATCTAGTGTGTGAATAATCCAGGTGCTTTTTTCTTTTTTTTCCCCATTTGCCTATGGCCATTTCATTCATTAGCCCTTAATAAAGAAATAGGGCAGGATATACTTAGAGTTGATGAAACTCAAAACTAACTTTTCCTGATTCCTACCTTCAGTGATCAAAAGTTCTTCGAAAGTCAGCAAAAGCTATTGAAATAAAAATATACATTTAGGATCCTTTTTGGATTTTGGTTTTCCATAATCCAGTGTTCACTCTGTGGGAAAATAACTATAATTCTGTTGAAACTCAGTGGTCTCTCAAAAGACATCCTAGGGTCTGTGTTGGAGAGGATGCTGGCTGTGTCTGGAAAAGGCATGGCCTGGTGGTAAACAGGTGGAGGCTGTCAGGCTGGGAATTCTGAGAGGGGCCGCCTGTGTGTTTGTTGGGGAGAGGGGATTGTGTCTCAGAAAGGGATGTGTATTCTGGGGTAGCCAATGACTTGAACAGACATCCTGACAGTAGAGCACTGTTTGAGTCAGTTACAGCATTTTGTCAGTTATAGGTACTTTTGACCCTTCATCTTTAATTCTTACATCAACTAAAATTTGTGAAGAATAAGTCTGCTTTTTTCTCTGAGTTTTTAGTATAGTTACATGAAGAATCTTAAAAGGGTACATAAATATAATCAATCATATTATTAGTTGTATGTTTAAATGACTACTTTCCTTAAAAATAAAATAAGAGTATTTTGGAAAATTTTGGATATGTGGTTGTCAGATCTGTATCTAGCAGTCACACACACACACTTCTTCTCAGACCTTCTTCCCCTCACTACTCCTACACTGTGGCAGCCTCCCAGTCAGCTCCCTCAAAGTAGTTGTCCTCCCTTCAAATGCGGTCTGCAAACTTGAAGGGTTCAGAATCATTCCCTTTCCCATGTATTCCTGCTTTGTAGTGTTCAATTTGCTGTGCCTGTCTCGAAAGACCTTTTGCTATCTAGTTAGTATGACGCTCTGATTTTCTAGTCTGCCCCGCCCTTGTCAAACCATCTCCTCACTGACCCTCTTATGGTACTCATTTCCAACTACCGTGGTTCACACTGGTTCTCTCCTCTTCCCCTCCCTTCCTTTCCACTTCCTGAACTGTTAAACACAGCCCCTCACAATATGGTGCTTTAATGCTTTCATATGTAGATTCACATAAGATTGGAGACGTCTGGAATTTCATCTGTATCTTCGTTCTTGCTGTCTTTATAGTAGGCACTGCGTAAAAAAAGTATTAGGTGAATAATCAAGGCATAGCATCTGTAGAGGTAATGAAGAATCCCTTCAAAACCAAGATGGATATTTTTCTTTTGGGGTGGTGAGGGGTGTATAGTGTTGAAAAGTTGGAAGACTTTTTGAACGAGTGAGGGCAGCTATTTTCTATGCAGCAGAATTTTAGGATGAGAGGTCATGGAAGACAGGTATCCTGCGACCAGTTGTTCTAAAGTCCAAAAGGTATGTTCTTGGTGTCAAGTTTAATCTTCATTTCATGTATCACACTGGAATTGTCTGACAGTTGAAAAATTGGCCCTCCCACTAGCACCCACGCTCAGGTAGGTAGGTCTTTGGGAAAGGGAGGGCTGGGGAGGAGGACTGAGGTCCAATGAAAGAGATATAAAAGTATCTGATTATTAGTATCTAAGGAGGGAGAAGAAAAATAACCAGTAATTATGGCAGTTGAGTCCTAGGAGTCTAGTTTGAACAGCATTCTCAACTAATGCAGTAATTTAACTGATGAGTGACAGAGTGGTGGCATTCAGCTCGAAGTTTTATTTGGCCATACCTTCTACATTCTTTCTCCTGAGGAAATGCCCAAACGTGTAGATTCGAGTGACAGCAAGGCAGTTAAATAATCTGGGATATGAATGTGGTTTTGTTTTACACTCCAGCAGCTATAAAATCAGTGAAGAAAAATCTGGATTCTTTTTTTTCTTCAAGAAAATTGAATCACTTCTCTACATTTCTTCTTTTGGTTAACTCTGAATTAAAATTTTAATTTAGGGATTATTTAACTCCTGTCCTTTATCTGCATTAAGAATCTAGAAGCTTTTTATAGCTAAAAAAGTTGCAATTCTCTTGAGCTTCTGCCAGTAGCATACAGTGATGCCAAAATTTATGTGTGGGAAAGTTGATTTCAATGAGGGTAATTTAGCTGAAGTTTAGTCTAAGAACCTAGTGTTTTGCTGCCAAGCAATTATTTGCATTTCTAAAAAATGACTTATAGTTTTTACCAATGCTTTCTTTTCATCATAGACTAGTTACTGAAGTAAGTTATTGTCACTAATGGTGTACTTTCTATAAAGGAAATTATGTTCTTGTTTAATTTGGTTAATGTCAGACTTGCTTTTAATATGCGATTCAAGTACTTTTATTAAATGTTGCCTTTGTTTGAATAAAAATCTGTAGGAATTAAATCAACAGCTAGAAAAAAGAAAAGAAATGGAAGAGCGTGAAAAAAGAAAGGCAATTGCTGAAGAAAAGCACAAGGAATGGGTTCAGAAGAAGAATGAACAGGTAGGGAGAAAAAGAAAATACACACCCACATACTGACCGCTCTTTTTGCAAAGTCTTTTTCTTTTCATTACTCCTCATAACCTAGGTTTTTGTTATTTTCTCTCAGTTTCTTTCTTCTCTGACCTGATTTTTTTTCCTCTATCTTCATGGACATTTGCTAAGTCTCTGTCTTCTACCCTTTGTTCTCTGCTTCTCTCCCTTTTTCCCTCCTGTGGCTTCCTTGTGTCTTGCTTCAGGTAGTCATGAAGTCTGTATCTCTAGGCCTGACATGCTGGAGTCTTGGGTTTCCATCTGTTCGGTTGGCAGGCAGCTCTAAGCCTGCAAATCTAAAACAACCCATTTGTGCCCATTCTCCTTTGATTTCTGTTATGAGTACTGCTGTCAGCTCAGCCACGTCAGCATAATCAGAATTATATTCATTTGTGTGTGACCCCCCCCTCACCCCACCTTTCCTGTATAGTCCCTACTCTCCTGTTTGTGATCTCTTCCTATCTGGTCCTGTTGTATCTTTCAACTTATTTACTGTTTATTTCCCCACACTGGATGTGAACTCCATCAGACCAGAGATTTTTGCCTCTTTTCTTCAGTTCTCTAGCAGCTAGATCAGTGCCTGGCACATAATAGATACCCGAAAATGTTTGTTGAGTGAATGAATACAACCTCTGTGTCTTTGCCAGACTGATCTTGCTAAAAAGGCAAACGTCATTCCCCAATTCAAAATATATTTTTTATGATTCCCTACCGACCTCTGAATAATGTTTTCACAATTGTAGCCTGGCTGGTGAAAGATCTTCTACTCTCTGCTCTCTGAGCGGTATCTTCCTCCTGTGGTTCCCTTCCTTCTGTGCTGTTGTTTCTTACTAGCATTCTTCTGGGAGCACACATAAGATTATCGTGGCCCATCTTCTTAGAGTATTAGTTTTACTGGAAATTTTTGAGAGGAAGAGTGTTATTTTCATATTAAAGCAAGCATAGATATTTAATGGGGTGGAATATAACTTTTATATTGTGTTTAAGATACACAACAGATTTCAAGGAAATCTCAATGGACTGTGCTCCCCACCAGGGATATGTAGTCATGAGAAGTTTTGAGAACACTTCCATTCTGTTTCTTACTTCCTTATTTTTTTATATTATACTTCATCAACATGGAATCTCATCATATCCTCCACCCTACCTTTCCCTTTATTATCCAACTTGAAGTATTTCCTGCATGAATCACTCACTGATTACATGCTTGAAATAGAAACTCTTTCCCTCTCTGAATCCTTGTTCAATTTATATCACTTTGTCATACACTGCCTTGCATTATCTATATATTTTGTTGCTATTTTGTATTATGCATATATCTTCACTTCCTTATAATTTTAAGACTCTTAAGGATAGGAATTATTTTTTACATTATAACTTTTTAATCCAGTATAAGATCTAGCATCATTCTTTGTAATATAGAAAGCATTTTTTACTGGAATGTATGAGTAAATCTATTATCTTTCAGTTTTATTTTATTACTTTTTGTTTCAAATTTTTATTTAAATTCTAGTTAGTTAATATATAGGGTAATATTGGTTTCAGGAGTGGAATTTAATGACTCATCACTTACATACAACACCCAGTGCTCATCACAACAAATGCCCTCCTTAGTACCCATCACCCATCTAGCCCATTCCCCCCTCCTCCCCTTCATCAACCCTGTTTGTTCTCTATAGTTAAGAGTCTTATGGGGCGCCTGGGTGGCTCAGTCGGTTGAGCGTCCAACTTCAGCCCAGGTCATGATCTCGCGGTCTGTGAGTTCGAGCCCCGCGTCAGGCTCTGTGCTAACAGCTTGGAGCCCGGAGCCTGTTTCAGATTCTGTGTCTCCCTCTCTCTCTGACCCTCCCCTGTTCACGCTCTGTCTCTCTCTGCCTCAAAAATAAATAAACATTAAAAAAAAAATTAAAAAAAAAAAGAGTCTTATGGTTTGCTTCCCTCTCTCTTTTTTTCCCCCTTCCCCTATGTTCATCTGTTATCTTTCAGTTTTAATACATTCTTATATTGGCTCATAAATTAGACATTTTGAAAATACTTATCTTTTGTTTCCTATTGTGATTTTTACATATTTAGAACGGTACTGCTTTTCTTATTTGATCCAATTTTATGAATTTAGTCAAATATTTAAGTTACTGGACAGAGTTTTAAATTTTTCATTCTAGTTGTCCTTAACTATTATTGAATCTAATGCTCCATGGAATTAATAAGAGTACCTAACCAATAATTTCAGTAAGTTGAAGATGACATAGCTTTCTTCATCCAGATATTATAAGAAGGAAATTGGCTGGACGTGTGTGTGTTGTAACCATAAACATATTTGATCTTCAGAAGTAAGTTGTTATTATTTTTAAGTTGCTTCATTCCATAATATAACAAGAAAGAATTCTTTAAGTCTGTGTGACTATTTGCAAGCTCTGGGTGATAATTTTGTGAAGTTTTTGGCTATAAAACAAAACTGTTTTACATGTACAGAATAGTGTTCTCTCTCCTCTAAAAGCTTCTCTTATCTTTTAGCTCCATTAAGCTCATTTTACCATGCCAGTCAAACATAGTTGTTGTTTTTCTGAGAATGTAAGATACCGCTGAGAGATGATATATTCTCTATTTTAATTAGTGTCAGTAGATCTAATCCAGTTATTTGAGAAAAAAAATTTTTTTCTTTTGAAGGGAAATGGCTTGTCCTGACATAAATCACCAATTATTGAAAGCAAGAGTCCATAAGTATGAGAATAGTTCAGAAATGAGCCCTGAGAAATTAAATTTATTTATTCTGCAGAATTCTTGTACAAATGAAGGAATAATTGATTACTCTAATTTTTTTTTTTCTTTCAGACCGGTCAGATTTCCTAGTTCAGTCTTAGTTAGATTTACCTCTATTTGTAAAGACTGCTCTCCTGGTTCTTCTCTTCCCGTCTGGCATCTAGCTTTTTTCTCCTCTGTTTACATTTCATGGTGTGTGGTCCCCCACTGCCTCTAGCTTCATTCACATTTTAGCTATATCTGTGGTGTAATTTTCTCTAAGTCATTTTCACTGTGTTCTATCAAGTAATCAGACAAAAAGAATTTATGTATCCATTAGCAAAGTTGGTTTCTTCTAATATGACTGTAAATTGTTAAGTCCTTTTCAAATAAATGGCTTATCTCATCTCGTACTCTTAAATTTGTGTGGCCATACTAATTCATATTTTTAGATTTATTTTTTTTTACAGCATGTTATCACATATTTTGTAAAAGGGCTTTATTTACCTTCATTGTTTTAAAAAGATTAAAAATAAAATTACTTTTAACTCTTAAGACATGGAACTGATATTTCAATGTAAAAAATTAATTCGGATCAATAAAGCAGATGATTGATAACACTGTTATTCATGCACTGAATACTTTTACACTGTGGCAGATACTACTAGAGGAACCAAAATAGAACTTCAGAAACTTTAAGTAACCAGTTATTTTGTTAGTTTCCTTTAGTTACAAAAAACAAAGGTTCTCTCAGGGCCCTGTCCTGAAAAAGGGAAGATTAATTATTGTGCTCTGTGTGGTATAGAACTGGAGTGCCAGAAAACCTGAAGCCGCTTAGTAACGGGCTGCTCTCTCTTAGTCCATCTCTCTGAGTGCCTGCTCTGTTCTTTTGCTAACAACTAAAGGCATTCCATTCTTTCTTCTCTGGCATAAATTCTACAGAAAGTCTTTTTGATGTTTTAAAAGAAACATCATTGAACTATAATTTACATACAATAAGATACACCTTTCTTAATTTTGATGAGACTTGACAAACTTGTATACCTGGATAAACAGTGCCATAGTCGGCACATAGAACATTTCCATCACTCCCAAAAGTTCCCTTGCGCCCTTTTGTAGTCAGCCTCTGATCTCCACCCACAGTGGGCCTCAGCTCCAAGGAAACCATTAGTCTCCCTGCTGTGCCTTTGGATTAGATTTACCTTTTCTAGAATTTCATATAAATCGAATAATAGAATATATATTCTTTTGCATTGGGCCTCTTTTGTTTTTAAAATTTCCTGGTATTGATTTTGCCTTCTTTTTTTTCAACAATAAGTATTATATTCTATGTAATTTCACAAATTGTCCATCCATTTGCTAGTTGATGGGAAATTGGGTTATTTCCGATTTTGGGGTATTATGAATAAAATTCTCTGATCACTTATGTACAATTTTTTTTTAAGTTTATTTATTTTGAGAGAGAGAGCCCAAGTGGGGAAGGGGCAGAGAGAGAGAATCCCAAGCAGACTCCATGCTATCAGCACAGAGTGCAATATGGGGCTTGAACTCACAAACCATGAGATCAGTATCTGAGCCAAAACAAGAGTTGGACACTTAACTGATTGAGCCACCCAAGGCGCCCCTGTACAAGTCTTTCTGTGGACATTTGTTTTCATTTCTTGGGTAACTGCTCAGGAACTGAATTGCCAGGTTGTATGGTAAGTATGTGTTTAAAAGAAATTGCCAAACTTTTTAAATATGCTTATATCATTTTACATTTTTTATGACTATTGTATAAAAGTTCTAGCTGTGCCACATCCTTACCAAGGTTTATATTGTCAGTCTTTTTCATTTTAAGTCATTCTGGTGCATGTGTAGTGGGGTGTCATTGTTTTCATCTCCCTGAGATCTGAAATTTAGCATCTTTTCATAAGCTTATTGTATTAGTCTCCTAGGGCCTCCATAACAAAATACCACAGGCTGGGTAGCTCAAATGACAGAAATTTATTTTCTTATCGTTCTGGAGGCTGGTCTAAAATGAAGGTTATCAGTAAGGTTTGGTTTCTCTTGGTTTGCAAGATGGATGCCTTGTCTCCACACCATGACATTCCCTTTTCTCTGCATGAATATCCCTGATGTCTCTTTCTCCTCTTATAAGGACATCAGCCCTACTGGATTAGGACCCTAGCCTTATGACTTTAATCACCTTCATTACCTCTTTAAAGGTCCTATTGGGGCGCCTGGGTGGCGCAGTCGGTTGAGCGTCCGACTTCAGCCAGGTCACGATCTCGCGGTCCGTGAGTTCGAGCCCCGCGTCAGGCTCTGGGCTGATGGCTCGGAGCCTGGAGCCTGTTTCCGATTCTGTGTCTCCCTCTCTCTCTGCCCCTCCCCCATTCATGCTCTGTCTCTCTCTGTCCCA